CGCCCTCCTGTTCTGGCTCAATTATTTTGGTGAATTCACACCAAAGGGGGGGGGGCACTGTACTCGAGTTTCGCTCTTGTTAGAGCTCATCAGCGGGCATATCCAATGGCCGTACCGGGGTTTGAACTCCGGACACCTGACATGCAAGGCAAACGTGTTACCACCATTCCACCAACGCACGTTGGACGCATCTGAATTCTCACGTCTGAACGGGCGAGTGTGTTTACGCTTGAGCGATGTAACTGGTGTGCCATTGGATATGCACTGCTGCTGAGCTCTAATAAGAGGGAAACTCGAGTCCAGTGCTTCCCACCCTTTGGTATGGATTCACCAAAATAGTTGCGCCAGAACAGGAGGACGACTGTTCAAACGAGAGTGATGTGAATGTGGACAATACACATCCCGCAAACCCCATAAAATTACGAACTGTTTCGACATTACTGGCTATGATGCTCCTTAAAAAAATATTTGCAGAAGGCGAAGTTGTTGACGCGCTTCAGTCCATGTAAACGAACATCCTGTCAGTGTTATTGCAAAAGAGAAATGTGTCAGAAAACTAATTATAACGGCTCAACTCGGAGTAGACGATAGGATTACCCCTCAAAAATACGTAAGCGGACGTTAAAATCTGTGTGAGTAGACATGTTCATCCAACACATACCATGCCTTCGGTAGACATGCGCAGCTTCTCCGGCTTTGGCGCAACCTGTTTGGCTGAAGTCAACCACTTCTTTGGAATTTCGATAACATTAGCTCTGCAAGTGAAAAATAGTGCAAAGGTTCATTATAAACGCCCCGATAATGGATTCTTAAACATAGGTGAGTGGGATACGGGTTACCTGAGGGGGGCATAGATCGGTTGTCATAAGGAATTTACATGGTTATCTCGGATATAGGAGATATAGGAACAGTCTTATACTTTATCAAAATAGTTTTTATATGGTTGGCGGAGGTCAGCAGTTTTAATATTACCGTGTTAGATTTTTAGAAATACAACCAGCCAAAATTATTTCACAAATGAATTTGAAGCAAACCAGAAAACAACGTTCTGGAAGGATCATAGAACAGACTGTCACGAAATTAGACGAGCGGAANGCGAACTCTCCACAAAAAACCCAACAGTTTTAGTGTTATCTATGTTGACGGCAGTCTGGCGTCTTATGTTAGAGTTGGATCTCTTATCCCCAACAAGCAATCAACTACACAGGCTCCCAAAAGTTCAACGTCTCCACTGTCCATCATCGGGGGTTTTTCGGCTTCTGTTCCAATCATTAAATCTGTGGAACGGAACGCATTGCTTCTCACTAAGGGTTTTCACTCAGTGGTAAGAGTCACTACCGTTTCATGGGTAGGTGACACACAGCTACTACAGATCCGCTCGAGAGTTTGACGAATCTAAACCCGAAGGGTAAAAACTGGAGCTAGTGCGAAGTTGTTGCATGTGAGTTGTGGCCATATAAAACAATTTCTATACTCCTATTTGTGTTTCCTTTAAAATACATGATGTATTACTGTCTAAGCAACCATTGTACATAAAAAGCCAGACAGCGTCACCATGGTTATGATGTTGGGTTACGGAAGTTACGCGTCACTTTCGTTTTGCGATTTATCTAACCGAGGATACTAATTCAGATTCTCTTCTGGACCAATGGGTTATTAGGATTAGCCAATTTGGCTACCACTGCCTGCACTTGCAGTCCTGATTCAATTTGCCATTCATCTAGGTTGCACTCTTTTTACTTTGGGCTGACAATGTCCACAAAAGCGGCACTCCTACAGAATGTAGTACATGAAAAATGTACCGGAATCATTTAATTTTATGGCGCTAGTTTACACAAGAACCTGCTAATACCAATCTAAGGAATGTACCTTTTCTGGTGGATGACTAAATGCTGTATCTTGAGGACAAGTAAACCAACAGCATACGGCAGTAATATGCAACGCACAGGATATCCCAAGCTCGATGGATCCAATCAAGACGCACAAATCATATTCACAGATCGCAGAAGAACCTGTAGACTAATGGTAGGGGTATTCTGAAGTCCACATGCCATTCTTTAATGATCAGATGTAGCTCGAT